TAAGTCACACAATTAACCAACAAAAAGTGTACATCCAAAAATGCAAAATTTATGCAATTTTGATACTTTGGAATAGACCTATACAAAAACTAAAAACGAGTTCTTCATCATGAAAATGTAAATAAAATCCAGCATCTGAAGCAAGATTGAGAGTTTTCATCCCTTGATGCATTATTTAAGCAACTGGTTTATACAAGCCTTATAGTTTCTTGGTGATAGACTTGCACCCATAACTTTTACGAGGTCTATTTCTGGAAAATGTATGTCGAATTCAGCATCTGAAGCAAGTCCATTTGTGTGCATCCTAAGATGTATCATCCATGCAAGTTTGGTCAACATAGGGCTTAAAGTTACTTGCAAATGAAACCTGTATAAAATAATTAACCTTTCCACTAATCCAGGAAATGTAGTCAGATTCAGCATCCGAAGCCAGCCTAGTAGAATGCACCCTTAGATGTACCATCCATGCAAGTTTGGTCATTATAGGGCTCAAAGTTACTTGAAAATGAATCCTGCACCATAAACTTTAACCTGTTTACTCGTCCAGAAAATGTAGGTCAGATTCAGCATCCGAAGCAAGTCTGGTAGTATGCATCCTAAGATGTACCATCCATGCAATTTAGTCATTATAGGGTTCATAGTACACTGTACCTTGAAAATGAAACCTTCACCAAAAACTTTAACCTGTTCACTCAACAGGAAAATGTAGGTCAGATTCAGCATCCGAAGCAAGTCTAGTAGAATACATCCTAAGATGTACCATCCATGCAAGTTTGGTCATTATAGGGCTCAAAGTATCTTCGAAATGAAACCTTCACCAAAAACTTTAACCTGTTCACTCAACCGGAAAATGTAGGTCAGATTCAGCATCCGAAGCAAGGCTGGTAGTATGCATCCTAAGATGTATCATCCATGCAAGTTTGGTCATTATATGTCTCATAGTAACTTGGAAATGAAACCTGCACCAAAAACTTTAACCTGTTCACTCAACCAGAAAATGTAGGTCAGATTCAGCATCCGAAGCAAGTCTAGTAGAATACATCCTAAGATGTACCATCCATGCACGTTTGGTCATCATAGGGCTCAAAGTATCTTCGAAATGAAACCTTCACCAAAAACTTTAACCTGTTCACTCAACCGGAAAATGTAGGTCAGATTCAGCATCCGAAGCAAGGCTGGTAGTATGCATCCTAAGATGTATCATCCATGTAAGTTTGGTCAACATAGGGCTTATAGTTACTCGGAAATGAGACCTACACCAAAAACTGCACCAAAAATGTTAACCTGCACCAAAAACATTAACCTGGTCATTCCTTTGCTGGAATTGCAGCATCTGAAACTTTGACTGGTACAATGAAACACACTAGCAACATCTTCCATGCAGGTCTAATCAATATAGGACTTAGAAGTACTTAAAAAGAAAACTGCTCCAAAAAACTTAACCTTAACCCGGGACGCCGACGCCGACGCCGACGCCGAGGGTATCACATAAGCTCCCCCCAACTTCGTTGAGGTGAGCTAAAAATGGTGCAATCATACCTAAAACAGAACTTGACCTAGATATTAATGTGATTTATCTGTATACAAGATTTCATTTCAGTATGTGCAACGGTTGCAAAGAAAATGAACGGAAACTGCAAATAATTGAAATTTTTCGAAGTCCAAGGGGCAGAACTCTGTTAAAAATGGTGCGATCGTACCCAAAACAGAACTTGACCTGGATATTCATCTTATAAATCCGTATACTAAATTTCATCTCAGTATGTGCAACGGTTGCAAAGAAAATGAACGGGAACTGCAAATAATTGGAATTTTTCTAAGTCCAAGGGGCATAACTCTGTTAAAAATGGCGCGAACATACCCAAACAGAACTTGACCTAGATATTCATGTGATATATCTGTATACTAAATTTTATCTCAGTATGTGCAACAGTTGTGAAGAAAATGAACGGAAACTGCAAATAATTGGAATTTTTCTAAGTCCAAGGGGCATAACTCTGTCAAAAATGGCGCGATTGTACCCGAAACAGAACATGGCCTAGATATTCATATGATATATCTGTATACAAGATTTCATTTCAGTAGGTGCAACGGTTGCAAAGAAAATGAACGGAAACTGCAAATAATTGGAATTTTTCTAAGTCCAAGGGGCATAACTCTGTCAAAAATGGTGCGATCGTACCCAAAACAGAACTTGACCTAGATATTCATCTTATAAATCAGTATACTAAATTTCATCTCAGTATGTGCAACGGTTGTAAAGAAAATGAACGGAAACTGCAAATAATTGGAATTTTTCTAAGTCCAAGGGGCATAACTCTGTCAAAAATGGCGCGATCGTACCCGAAACAGAACTTGACCTAGATATTCATGTGATATATCTGTATACCAAATTTCATTTCAGTATGTGCAACGGTTGCGAAGAAAATGAACGGAAACTAAGTGGACCGACAGACCGACCAACAGACAGCAGCAAAGCAATATGCCCTCCCTTCTTCGAAGGGGGGCATAAATATCACTAAGTGTGTTTCTAACATTTTACTATTCCCAAAACAAAACATTCCATATTACCATTGTTAATAGCTCTAATTGGCCTGAAATTGTTACCATGGAAAATATGCCAAAGAAGAAGTCTCAATAAGGCATTATCTGTGGTCCCCGGTTACTCGTCAAATTTGAAACTTTCATTAAGACACTTAAAAAGTAAATTTTATTATTCTCTCATGTCTGTACTATTTGTGTCAACGTTTAAAAATGTCAAATAATTGAAATAGACAACACACAAAGCTGTGTTTTGAAGGTGGGGTCCTTTGACTTTCATGAATATCAAAAGAAATTTGTGACAGGTACCCACTTCACAGCTTTCGTAAACATCGAGCGCAGATTTGTTCAAAGTCGAGATTAAAATATGATATGTATATCACATTAATACAGATTGTGTGGAAATATCTTTGTTGAACAACCTTGCGCTGTATGTTTTCTACTTAAAAGTAGCAAGATTTTGAATCTGTTTTGTGAGTACATTTACATAAGATTAACCTCTTGTTGACCTGCTAAAAATAGAAAATATGTAACGTGATTCCATTCCGCCACAGGTGAATACCTCCGGAAAGCGTGTTTTCTCTAGGAAGCGACACATGTAGCTCGTATTTGAAAAGTGCAGTCACCAGGCTGAGCTTTTATTTTTTGAAATTCAAAACAAGGTTCCATAGTCTTCGAAGAATATCACTCAAGTCATGTTAAATTTCAAATGGTGATTTTCATGGACATGATATTTTAATTCTCATACATGTAATCGCAATTTTCCTGGTCAGTGCGAACAACACAATAATGTACGAGTAGATGTATATAAATACACTTTAAATCAATTTCTTGCGAAAAAGAAACAAACAAGCAAAAATACCAAAGACGTTACAATTTCTTCACATTTAACCAGTCTATAAAAACAAATGCACAGTACTGACCTCTTCAATATTCAAAGAAACCTTACACTTTTGTCACATTTTGAATGTATTAGTAGCATCGATTTTGAAAGTGGGGGAGCCAGCCACAGAATTTTTTTTTACTTACCTGAAAGAGTTGACAAGCCAAAAAAAAAAGGAAAATTGCACAAAGTCGAAAATCCTATAATCCAGTGGGGGTGGGGGTGGGGGTAGAGGCAATTTTTTTTCACTACCAATTCCTTTCATTATCCATTTTTAGCTTAAAATACTATATTTCCTTCATATTAATTTTCTTTACTGTATAAAGGGGGGGGGGGGGGCTTTCGGCAAACATTTTCAATAGTAAAAGTATTGTTGGCAAAAAAAGTGGGGGGCCAGGCCCCCTGTTGCTACGTGCCTGTGCGACGAAGTAGATGAATATTGAGTTTGAATTTCATTTACCAATCTTGTGATATTTATTATTAAGAATCCTTATAAAGTATAATAATTATGTTTCTCAACAACTGTTTTTGAAGTGATTATACACATGTATATTACGCGATTGGTACACGCCATGTATATTTTAGACAATAATAGATGAGTGTATCGGAATATTCATTGCGGAATTTAGAGCAAAATTAAGAAATAAATATACATGTCAGGCATGTAGTATTAGGGGGAGGGGGTGACCCTTCTTTTCAGAGATAAATCTTTAGTCCCCCCCCCCCCCCCCCCCAAAAAAAAAAAACTTTCTTATGGCTTTAGGCTGGTACGATATGAATAAACACACATTGAAATTGTTGTTTTATTTTTCAAATAAAAAAGAATAATAGTTTGATGCCCACTCCTACATAATCGATTTTTTTTTTCAAGTTTGGAAGAGTTTAACTCTTTCCTTTGCTTTATCAAACTTCTGTTCAGGTTTATCGTTTATTTTTTCTCAGCTCCCCCTTTACAAAGGAAAGGAAGACTTAAGTGTATTTCTGTGTGTATTTACCATAATTTATTATTCGATCGCTTGTACTTTTTAAATTGTCATATGGAAGAAAATTAATATAGGGGTTAATATATTTGATAGATGCATTTATAGATTATAAATTTTAAAAAAATCAGACCAAACATACACCAAGAACAAAAAGAAGACCACTCACCAACGCCAAATTAAGAAGAATACGAATAGTGCAAAATAAAATTATTATTCTAACCCCTACTACATTGTTAATTATTTCTTATCTCATACTAATGTCCACCATGTCTTCCTTTATATAGTACCTAATTTAAATGTCTCCGCCCATGTGTATATAAAAGAGAAACCGTACTCTGTCCGAAAGAAAATGTTCCGGAATTTGTATGTGCGGTAGGTGTTGAAAATTGGCTTTTATTTCTTGATACTCAAAGTCATTAATAATGATTGTACAAAATTTTAATCAGAAATACTATGTTATACACCATGAAAATAAAAAGTATACCATGTCCTCAAGTATATTCTGTAAAATAAGGGCGAAAAAAGGGACCAAGCTACTATACTTAAGTGGAAAACTCCTTTTGCAAAGATCAATTTATGTGCACGTAGGTTACCTGATTTGAGTAAAATGTTTTCTGGTTTGAGGTCAGCATGAATGACATTCTGCTGCTGTAGAAATCCGAGGGTTGTTAACAGTCTCAAAGTCACCTTCTTTATGCTGGGTATCAACTACAAATAAACATACACGATTGATTTAAATGACATTAAAAGTAACATTTATACTAGCCACAGACTCGTACAGTAAAACTTTTATAGTATGAATGTATGGAGATAGCCAAACTTTACTGATTTTTGTTGTTAGCATGTTTTACTGTTTGTTAATTGATATACCTGGTCTCTGTGAAATCCTTGGAATATTCGAGTCAAGGGCTCAGGCACAAGGGGCTCAAACACAAGGCAGAAGTGGTCGTCCAGCTCAAAAAAATTCTACAATATAGTTGAATTCATTAAGGTGATATTCCCCTTATGTGGATCTTCAACAAGAGTTGTTGAAAAAGACATAAATTCTTGACAAAACCTTGAATCATAGATTGACGTTAGGGGTGGGACGATATACCGATACATATCGATATTTTCATCTAAGATACGGTTTACGATACAAGCATTCAAACATCGGTACGAAATGATACACGAATGACCTATCCAAAATTGAAAATGAAAGTACAAGTCTTTGGAAAATGGCGGCTTGTACGAAGCGAAGAGATGATGTTTATTGAAAACACACTTTAGAACTAATAAGTCTTTGTTTAGGGGTAAAATGTTTTCACTTTTAAGCAGCCTCGGAAGTTTGGACAAGAAAAGTTCAGTATGTAATGCGTGCTTTACACAGAAAGCATCGTGTCTAGAGCATTTGATATTTTTATTATTGTTAGTCCATCTCGTATTTTTTTTTTTTTTTTTTTTGTAATCTCAGCTTTGCTACAGACTTTCAGCAAATTAATAAAAATGTAAATGTGATGTTTTTAAAACTATTTTAGTCAGTGTTCTCTGCTGAACTACACAACTATTTGTAAACAACTTCTTAAAAGTAATTTGGTAATAATAATATGTACATGTATTTTTGTTTTTGTAAAGTTTTCGTGAATGATATTGATGAACTTAGAGTATTAATTTCAAAGCACACATGATTTGATATAGAATAATTTGTTGATTTAATGTCAAGGCAAAAAATGAAATAAAGTACTAATTCTTTTGAATAGTTTTATAATTTATCATGTTGATTTAATGACAAGACAAGAAATGAAATAAAATACTAATTTTTAAAAATAGTTTTATAATTTATCAAAATATCGAGATACGTATCGTATCGTGCCAATATATTGAGATACGTATCATATCGCAAGATTTGTGTATCGTCCCATCCCTAATTGACGTAGTACAAATCAAGTTGCTCAAAATGACAAAATAGAAACCCATGGCTAGCAAAGTTTACATAACCCCTATCTAAAATTATTCATTCTTTGTTTAAAGCTAGACTCCATACCAGTAACTGGACGACTCTGGAGGCCTTGTAGGGGTCAGCCACCTTAAGGGACCACAGGAAGTGGATCTCCTGATAAGCCAGGTGCCCCCAGCTTTTGTGGAGTATCTTGATCACCACCAGGGAGTCTGAGTTAAACTCATCCTGAAAAACATACCCAGTACATACAGTTCTTCACCAATGTTAATACATAGAAAATAAAATAAGTACATGAAGAGACTGGAGGGAGATGAGTTAGTTTTCTTCTTTTTTTTTAAATATAGAGCAGTGCAAAATTGAGGACAAATTCAAGTTTAGAGTATCATTTGATCCTGAAGTCTCAAACATGTTTACAGGCATTGAAAAAGCAGATACAAATCAAAATTACAAAGGTCGGAATCCTAGGAAGATTGGGTTTCAGAATCTAAAATTATCAATTTTTTTTTGCAAAAATATGCCCATTTGAAACAACACATCATTTAAAATGAATTTCTGGCAAAATTTAGAAATTTTGTAATTTATTCACTCTAAAATAACTGTTCTGTTGTTCATCTGAGCATAAAGGTAAGAAATAAACATATGAAATGCCAGGAGCCCTTTCTATAATAATAAGGCCTAGAAAAAAAATATGTTTGTTTCCGCTTTCCCGACCGACCCTAATTTATAGTGCCGACCCTAAATATTTTTTTAATGCTTTTGTCCCATGATGTGCAAGATTTCAACCAGGGAATTATAACCTCCAACTCTGCAAGCTTTTCAAGACAGAAAGAAGTTTGGGTCACCTTTCAATTATAAGTTAAGTCCCAGTAATGCTTGAAAACACCATTTCTTTTGTCATTAATGTTACTTCTATACACATTTTGATTAAAGAAGCAAAAAAATTTTTTTCAAAAAAAAAAAAAAAATTGCCTACCTACCTACCCTATATTTTTTCAGCCTGAAAGCGGAAACAAACATATTTTTTTTCTAGGCCTAACGTGAAAAATTCAACAGACAAAAAGTGATTTGAGTTATCTCTCTTTACAGATGTTTTAGATCTGTTTCACATTCTAACAAACACGGGAATATGTCAAATATAGAACTTGATTTTTTTGATAAATGTGTTGTATGAGAATATCACTCACAATCTGCTTCACATTTTTTATGAAAGTGAAGTACATGTAAAAGAATATTGCATATTAAATTGCTTAATAAATATGAAGTGTACAAAATGTTTCACATTTTTATAAATATAAATGTGAATTTTAGCAAGAAAATATTTCTTCTGCAATATTTCACATCCGAAATTCCAAATAAATACATAGTTACAATATTACATGTTGCTTTTAATTTTATTTCAAAACATGATGTGTTAGAATATTACAACTTTAACTGATTTAAAATGAGCAAAATATAATGTTACAGTGTATCTGTAGACTTCATTACATCATAAAATCAAACTTATGAAAAATATATCAGATTTTTTTATATAATTAAATTTTAAACCTTTGCGAAGATCTGTACGGATGACTGTCCGCGCGTCCTCGGGGACACCTTACTCTGGACTCGGTAGCGAGAGGCTAACAAAGTGTTCTTCTCTGGAACGAAATGGCCGTGGATATCTGTAAACTGCCCGTACTCTATTAATAGATTAAAATCAACACATTTCCTGTTATCTGAGTAGTTTTTGATTACCAAATAAAAAGGTTTTCAATCTTCTTATTTATTTCAGTTTATCTTTTTAATCTGCTATGATTATCTATGATATTTAATACTGTTATATACTTTTTTTGTCTTCAAGTATAATAAATTACATGCTTTAAGTGATATTTGAAACCTACTTTTCCTTTAAATCCTTTACTTGTACATATATAATTAAAATCTCTGTATTTTGTAATCTAACATTTGATTTTTATACAATTATGCATAGTCTTACATACATGAAATAATAATTACATAATAGATGCTTATGGATTTCAATTCTCTCACATTAAAAATTCTGACAAAATATTTTGATATATAAAAGGAAGGTGACTTCATTCGTTATCCAAAAGTGCATGACACAGAGATATGTCCGTGGAAAAATACTAGAAAGATATACAAAAATACTTATCACCACGGAAATAATGCTATCTTAATAAGGAAATGACCTTGACCTCCTACAAGAAGTTGTAGAAAAAAAAACAAAATAAACATGTCACACCCTTATACGACTAGTGATTTCAAAGTTCAGCATTCAAACTCTTCTAAACAGAAATGAGTAACATGACAAAAATGAGGCCATAATCAAAAAGGTCATGAAAGTACATGTACTAGAAAACTTGGAAAAAAGTTCAGCTTTGTTCTTGAAAGGAAGATTTTAAGAGATCTTTCCAATACATGTTGGTACCCCAAAAAAGACCACAAGGAATATACAGTTAAACTTTTGTGGATAGACAGATGGACAGACAAAAGACTATATGCCTCAGAATCTCCATTTATGGGGCCCGAGGGTTGATGTGACATATGATATGGATTTTAGTATGTAGTATTCTATTTATTTATTTATATTTAAAATACTTAATATGTGAGTTCATATGTAGTCATTGAAGAATGACATTTTTCTTTAAAATCTAAAAGTAGCAATTTTAGTTAACTGAAAATAAATTAAGACCACAAATGTCATTAAAGAATTACTTTATATGAATATTTAAATAAAATCAAGTAAATAAACTTTTAAACTTTACACAAACGTTACCTCCGGTTTGATATGGATTTTCGGCCCGCCGGTCCGAAACATATGGATTTTCGGACCAGTCCGTGATATGGTATTGTGACGTCACACGTATCTCACCGTGCAAAATTGGTTTATTTACTACTAAGTATATGGTAAATACCCATAGCATACTATCAGGTATGTATTATGACAGATTACAAATTCACTTTCATTGTTTTACTAGAAATCTATGAGTCCACTTACTAAATTTAAATGTATAGTGATACATATTGTATTGCTGGACTTTATTTTGATACATACAGCTGAACCTTGGCATCATGAATACCATTATATTGAATACTTTGGATATATCATAATGATTTGAAAGTCCCAACCACTTATTCTCAAAGTATTTTATTCTCAGTTAGGCCAGTCTTCACAAAAAAGAAACTCATCACAGGACAATTGGACAGACAGTTAAAAAATTTCACAGGACCAAACGGAATTTCACCAGTCCAAAACTTTTATCATATAATGATCATAACAATGTTTCTTAATATCATATGAATCAATAAACAAATAACACATTAAACAATTACTGTATAATCCCTATTAACCGCCCCGGGCGCTTAGAAAATTGCGGGAAGGGGGCGGTTATTTTGATATTCTTGCTATAATTTTGAATGTCATATTCTAACTTCAAGAAATCTTTTGGAACAAAAGCAAATAACAGAGAACCACTAAAAATTGTCTAACCTTCCTTTAAATTAAAATAATCCACCCAAATTATGCTATATGACTCATTTTCCCACCTCAAAATTAGGGAATAGACAAGGAGAACAAACTTGTATGTATAACTTTCACTTTCCGAAATACATGATTAGGTCGTTCTAAAAATCTTTCACTTTCAAGAATATGTTATGTATGAGTTACCTAATAACGAAGTTTAATCATTTTCACTTTCTTCATTATGGTTGACTTTTGATACGATTCTGGATGATTTTGATCACTGTACAACACAATTGAACACATTAAACAATTAACTGAATTGTTTCTTCATCTACCCTGGTACTGCCCCATCTATTTTAAAAACATCGTGGTGGAAGTTGGTTTTAAAACAATCACGATCAACAAAACGGTTTTAATAATGTGTTTTGGTATTAGTTAAAGCATCTATATGAGGAAATAGAAAATATAACATTTAAACCCCAACCAAGCAGATTTTCACCTGTTTTGTTCCGTGGACTGGTGCTTTTGGGATAGACTGTTAATCAGTCTCTAGAATGTTTTTTCTTTTTTTGCCCCACTGAGTTTGAGATTAATAAATTTTGGCTACCCAGGCCTAAAATTCATTACCATACAAAGGAAGAACTGATGCATCATGGGATGTTATCTTAGTGAATAGTTTCTTCAGTCCTCCAGTGACATAGGCCGAAAAATGGATCTGTGGTGGATTTATATGTATCAGCTTGTCAGAATGTCTGAAATAAAAACAAGCACATTCAGTGGGAGATGTATCTGGGTACATGCAATACAATACAAATTGAGCAAATAATTATAAAATAAAACAAGAGGCCCAGGGGCCACATCGCTCACCTGAGCTCTGGCTATGTAAAACTAAATGCAAAAATCAGCTAAGTATTGAAAATAATAAATATTAAAGTGGGTTCAAGTGGGGTCATGTTTTGAACAAACTTAAATCTACACCACATGAGGATGCTTCCATATAACTATGACCAATCATGGCTTTGCTGTTCTTGAGAAGATTTTTAAACATTTTCCCTATGTATTCCTATGTTAAACTTTGAACCCTGACCTGCCATCATGGACCAACCCTACCCCTGGGGTCATGACTTGAATCTGCACTACCTGAGGAAGCATCCACATGAGTTTCATCTTTCCTGGCCAAGTGGTTCTGGAGAAGAAGATTTTCAAAGATTTTCCCTATGTATTCCTATGTTAAACTTTGACCCCCCCCATCATGGCCCCACCACACCCCTGGGGGTCATGATTTGAACAAAATTGATTTTACACTATATGAGGATGCTTCCAAATGAGTTTCATCTTTCCTGACCCAGTGGTTCTGGAGAAGAAGATTTTTAGAGATTTTCCCTCTGTATTCCTATGTTAAACTTTGACGCCCCCTCCCCATCATGGCCCCACCATACCCCTGGGGGTCATGATTTGAACAAAATTGAATTTACACTATATGAGGATGCTTTCACATGAGTTTCATTGATGACAACGACGACAGACAACAGACAAATTTTGATCAGAATAGCTCACTTGAGCCTTCGGCTCAGGTGGGCTAAATGCTATAAAACACCATAATAATTAAATTAGGAATTAAAATCAGCATTCAATATCAAAAGATATATCAATATCATTCTACACACAGTGATCTAGCTGCAGAACTGCATGTAGCTCTCCGAAAAAAAAATATATTGACAGACCAGAAGGCCACCGATTGTAAAAACTGTATTTTTATTGCGCATAAAAAGTTGCGCTTAGTTCTGAATTAATTCTTCCAAATTCTTACCTCAATCGTAAAAAAGATAGATTTCAAAAAATTCCTTACTCTTCTGTCAAGTACTCTTGTACTTCTTGTACGAGGTGTGTTCAAGGACCGAATTATCTTGCAAACCAAAATTGCTGTATAAATAGAGGGAAATTTCGGTGATCTTTATTTCAGGGCCAGGAGAACTATCGACAACAATTATAACAGATGTTTTGTTGTGGATTAAGTGTAATAATCAGTTAGGAATACACAGTTAGTAATATTTGGAGATGACTTGACATGCAGTTGAAAAACATGGAGAAATAAATCTTGAAACAGCACCTTTTTTGGTGCGCAATAAATATACAGTTTTTTTTTCTATGGGTGGCACTGTAGCTCTTCAGTCTGTCAATATTTTTTTCGGAGAGCTACAGTTCTGCAGCTAACAGTGATCCAGATTTGATTCCAACCAAATTAAAATGAACAATCTTAAAAGTAGGTACGCAAATTATTATGTTTACAGAAATACTTCTAAATCACAATTTTTCAGTCTGTTGTCAATCCAGACTTAGTGTGTTATACTAAGGACTTGTAACATGTTCAAATAATAAAGTAAACAACATTTACTTTGACATTTAAATGAAATTATTACATCTAAACAAAGCACTTTATGTCTCTCCTAGTTTCAACAAATCGTGGATTTTTGTTTTGTTTTTTCAAAAATCTGAAAACTGACAGAAGTAGATTAACATTGAGTGTGTCTGAATTAGTTAAAAACTGGGAAAATAAGATGGTGTTCCTGAAAAGGAAGCATGGAGGAAATTCGGATATTTTATAATGTAGTTTACCATCCGTGAACAATAAATCTAAAGAAAGCTGACCGTATATTTTTGGAATTAAATTTAGAACTCTTATCAGCAGATCCATTTTTCATCCCTTTATCCTAGAACAGAGATCAAACTAGAAAATTGTCATGAAATCTTCACAATATGCTAGTTTTACGGTGTTTTTAATGAACCCGCGAAACTGTAAATCCCGTAAATCTGACATGCGGTAAAAGTAGTAATGCCAACTCCAGATTCACTCGGTTTGAAGTGTTAAAAAATAGCTTCATACTTACCAGGATTTTTTTTTTTAATTTGTTTAAAATAATTACAAATAATATGATAACAGTAATAGCTTGATTTCCGAGTGTTCCGGATTGCTAAATAATTTTCTTAATTTAATATAGAGTATAGTACACAAAATAGATAGACTTAAGTAGGATTCTTCTCATATTTCTTGTACTTAAAATTTAATGAAATTTTCAGAATCAAGAAGACAATATCACTTAGTGATGGTTTCAGTGAGATTAAGTTTGACCGTATTATATTAGAGGCAAGGTCAGGTCAAGGTCATTACATTTCCCTGGACATTTTAAAGATAAAAAAAAATATTGTTGCCAATCATGCGATCCCTACCTTTATTTCCAAATTGAATGTTTTCCTGTTTACATAAAAAGATACCACCATATACGGCCTATAAGATGATATTACCAAGTTGACATAAATAATTTAACTAAAATTGATAATTGACTAATTCGAATATTCTATACTTTTCTTAAATTTTTTAGGATAAATTAGTTATTTTTATATACTTCTTATATTTAAATATTTCTTATTTTCAAATATGGTAAAGATATCACATAAAGGTACAAAATGATACAAAAATAAAAAGTTTTGATCGTTTATACTAAAAGAGGAAAAAAACACTTTTTACGGATTTTGGCTCAAATCTGTACTTAGATTGGAAGCATTTAAAAGGTAAACTAGTTCTAGTTTGTTTGAAAAACCATCTTTATTTGTTATATTTGGAAACTTTAGTCCCTTATTGATTAATTTAACTTACATTTGAAAATTTCTTCGAGTCTTTGATTGTGTAGAATTATCACTGAATTGTTCTATAAAAAATTTGAGTGGCAGAAACGAAGATATTTTCATTCGCCACCGTTCCGTCAAAAATATAGTCCCTGCTAAACGGATTTTACAACTTCTAAAGTAGTGCAATCGTGATGAGGAAAGAAAAATATGGTCGATCTTTTAAATCTCTTACACCTAAATATATAAGAAATGCATGCAAGTATACTTTGAATATTTCATTTAGTCAGATTTTAAGCATGTTTCCTGGGTTTTTTCCCCTTTTTTTCTAGGACACAAAATCTCTATTTATTTGTAATTTGAAAGAAATTCAACTGCACTTAATCTTCTAAAAAATTCTATCCAACCTCTTTGCTACGTTACAGTTAATTTCCACATGCATAAATACACGTATCATGCATATATTTATTAAATTTATTCATATCTAATTTAAACAATAAAATGTTTCTTTGGTTGTTAGTATATGGAAATTAACGTCGTGGCTGTTGCAGAAAAAAAATACAAAAACCGCGTAAGCGATATTTTAAAAAAAATTGTTGATTTTTTAACTTATTTTTTCTTGTACTTTCCGGCTGTAATATAGAATGAAGCAATTTCGTGGAATTCAAAATGATGTCAATAGTAACCACGATATGATTGCTTTAACATCATTTTAAAGTAGAGGTCAAGATACTGGCGAAAAACTATTTTTCGAGAGACTTTGGGCAATATTGATACATTTCCCTTTTCTGAGATCTATGAAAAAAAGACCTCGGAAGTTTATACCTGACTTTCTCCATTTTCAATGAAAATGAAGTTTAATTTTTTTTTTCATTGAGTCTCCCTAAAATTATGTCCCGATACATTTTATTTTACGAACTTATATTTTAAAACAACTATCAAAAAGAACTTGTTTCTCTAATTTGAGAAATCTATAGGCATTTTTCATTTATTTTTTGAACCTTGACCTCATAATTTTTTTTAATCTGAACCAGTTCGAAGTTCTTGTCTTACCGTCTTACAGAAAACAATTCAAATTCAAACTTTTTATGACTTTAAAACTTAAATGTTAAAATATAGTTGTATAGCTATGTATTTTTTAAATATTTATTTAAGATATATTGTCTTGGTTATATTATAAGAATTTTTTAATTCATTGTGATAGTGAAGAATATCAACGAATTGTGTAGAATATCAACGAAAAACAGTCGGATGTCAGCGTATCTAGATTTACCGTATGCCCATATTATCTCGTCAAAGACGAGAGCGAAGAAAATAAACAAACTCCGCCCCTTCCTGTCCATCACACACTTCCTCTTCCCACAGAGACGGGAGAGAACAACAGGATTGATTGTATTGGTGCTGGTGTGTATTGCTACACCTCTTTACTAAAAGTATTACGATGGGAAAATGGGCGGTCATCTCTTCGGATCCAAAGACAGGTCGAGGCCTGTTAGCCAAGTCGGATTTTCCGATTGGTTGTTTCCATATAAGGAAAATGATGCAATGTTTTCAAACAAATCAAGCGTATATCACGGTTCACGTGTGCAAATTACTATTACTACAGATTTTTTGCGGGAAACGTTCACAACTTTATCCTGAGAGGTAGGTAATTGTTATTCAGCAAAGTTATTGACTTATCTAGTAAAGGCATGAAAGAGTGTTCATTGATTATAGTGAGAATTATTAAAATATACTGAAAAAAAAAATGTTAATAGGCGAATATTCCAAAATGACGTAATGTTTAATTTATGCATAAAGTCAAATGCAAAATAAATACTAGTAATTTACTTGTTATATTGTTTTTAATTTTCAAAAGATCACAATAATAATTTTTAACTTGTATGGAATTACCCATTTACAATTTACGAAGTCATACATTTACGATGAAAATATATTTATTATTTAATGTTGGCAATTTTCCAGCTTTGTGTTGAATTTATGTAGTAAAGATCAATTATAGAGACACTTCCTCTATATACAGTCGTCAAGCATAAACAGACTCGATTCTGATGGTAGCAAAATAAAGTTGTTTTTTATTCAACAGAGTTCCGATGTAGTGCTCACAATGCAACAATCTTCAAAAGGAAACTCTGGAGAAGATGTAACGGAAAGTCCCTCAGCATTTTCAGTGTGTTCAAAGGACGGAAAAATTAAAAGACCTCATTCCGGAAAACGCGACAGTGGCTATCACACGGATAATTCGCCAGCAGCTCATGGAAACCAACTTATGTTTAATTTTGATGACATCCCCTCGAAATCGGGTGATCATCCTTGTCATGAAAGTTTTGAAAGTTCCGGTGTGTTTGATTTAGAAGAACAATCGTCCGGGGATACTAGCGATCAGGAAGTTGAGATGGTGTTGTCCAACCCTAATTCCCCTAGGCTTGAGCCATCGCTGCCTTTGGTCTCTCGTCCCTCCGCACCCCTCCCTGGGGAAAGTGATAGAGAGATGCGATTGGATTTGATTCAAGGGATAGTTAGTGAGCCCCGTCTTAGTATATCATCCCCATCACAGAATAGGGGGGTATCTTTCCAAAGGACCCGCTCACGGAGGCATGGCTGTTACTTTCGACCTATTGTTAATCGGTCTGTGGGAACCCAGACTCCCACCCCCACTTGCCAAATTCTGAATGATGTCATTGATCGGTTTCACCCTTATGGACATATACGAGGTAAGTTTTTACTTAAAATTATTTTGCAGTATTCAATCAAACGCGTACGTGTATTTACTTGGATTTAAATTAATTACTGCTTATAGTATGTAGTATAGTGCTTATAGAGTAGAATAATCAGAATCAAGTAGAAATTTTATTTATAATTTATATGAGATGAATATTTTTTAAACGTAATTGTCATTATTATCACCACACGGAAAACGATTTGAGGACAGAAGGTCACTGAACAGAGATTTGGTATTAGTTGAGAGTACAAACACTAGTGCTGACTTGGAGCCAAAATTATGAATCATGTGATAGTCATTGCGGAAATGTGCTGCGGAAACTGCAAACATTTGTCAAGTGAACTCCCTTTTAGTTGTGCCTCGTGTGTCACTTGTAGATCAAGAACCACAAAACCACGAGGGTGACGAGGATACTAATAATAATTATTACAAAACTTCTGATTTTATAGTACTCCGAAAAGACGAATTTGTCACCGGGGCAACTATCGTCTGCCCAAGTAAATGGGTTAACTTGACAGGAGGTTGACATTTCACTCTCATCAATCATAAGACATTCTAGATCTGATACTTTCATATATAATCTGGTGCTCTTATAAGTAGACATTAAAGTCCGTCAAATTGTGCCCTTATCTTTCATTTTTAATTTTAACTCGTACATACAGAGTATATACCTGCTTTCCAGGTGGGTATCCCCCCTCATGGGGTTACCTGCACATTTTTAGCAGGTACGGTGATTACATCAGCTTTATTTATAGATTGAAAGAAGCCTATCATCGATTACGTCCTTATATATAGTGTACAATACAGACTTTTGTTCATGAAATAATGCCAAACAAAGCTGGGCAATGATAATAATAGTTTGAATTAAAATCTGCATTATTTTAAATCTATTTATTCATTTGGCAACATATAAACTTTAAAAAAAATAATACAGTTCCCACACACTGTAGCGATGTATGCCTAACCGATTTTTACCCACCACACCCTGTCCAAATAACCAAAAATAAGCTAATACATGTATGAGACAATCACAAGTTTGAATTACAAAAATACATAGTAATTGTGTGTTGTTATGAATTAGATAAACATTATTGTAAAATGTTTGTTTCTTTACAGATTCCCTGACACGAAACCGACACAATTCAGCAGGGGAACACAATCCGTCCACCTCTAGTCCTCTCCCGGACATCATTCCAGCATCACGTGACCGCTCGGTGTCCCTCCCCGACGTCCCCTCCCTCCGCCAGCAGCAGGAGCAGGCGGTCGGGAGGGAACTCCGGAGAATCAGTGACGAGTTTCATTACGCCTTTACAACACCCCCACGGGTAAGTATTCAATACCACCCTCACCCACTCACCCCCACCCCGTGTACGTATTTAAACACCACGCTCAACGTGTGGTTATATTATATAGAATTTTAAATCTCATGCATATACATTGAAAGTTTAAAAGAGATTTTCGATATAAATATGTAGCAGTTTGTGTACTCGGTGTCCGGGAGTTGAAATGTGCACTGTGCATCATATGGCGCCTGTTGGTGCATGCATGATTACAATATAATGGAACAGGAATTAATTGAATGGTGTACGTGTTTATAAAGATAAAGTTCATGGAGTGCTTTTGCGTACGATATGCAACAGATTTGTTGAAATGCAGCATAAATGCTTTTTTTAACAACTTCATTTAACCAATGTCAAAACAACTGCTGGTTGTTTGTCAGCTTCAAAAAACATCCTGATATCTGTATAAAAGTACATAAAATGTTTATATCACGATAAGGCCGACCCGCGTGTCAGACCTCGCAGTTTACACTACGGAGATATGTGTTATAATTTCTGTAGTAACCTTGAGCTGAAAACCTCGTAACATATGCAGGCCTAAAAAGTCAAATACCGACATTATCAATATACTCAGCGTTCTAAATATGTCTAGCGGCTATGAGGGACACACTTTAAAAATTCCAATTAATTTTTTTCAATAAAAAAGTGAACTAAAAATATTGCAATGACGGTTGAGATGTTTTCTCTACTTTTTCAGAGAGCCAGTGTGTTCGGGGGACCGCGGTCGTTTCCGGGCTCCGCCAGGTTTAACATGGCTAACCTGTGGGATAGTTTAAGGAACTTCATTTCCAGTCCGGTGTCAATTCGCCATGACAATGACGATGAAAACGACCACATCGAAGATGATGTATTTCCTCCGAAATGTTGACAACGGAGCCGGAGTACTCCAACGACATTATAACATTGTATTTTGGAACTCATTGCTTCCATTGGGTGCTTTATGTAAATTATGCAATGGATTCTATACTCAAGAGTCCTATCAAGTTAATGTCAAACACCGTTAAACGACAAGAAATTATTGTAATTACGATGAAATACGCAGCATTGTTAAGGCTTGAATAAGGAGGCGGAGCCTAATTTATACGGGAAAAGTTTTCTGTGACGTCACACAAAAATATGACTTTTGTGTATTTCTCATAATACCTGAAAATGAAATAATTTGCAACTCTAAAATGTATAAGCATAATAAACAACGATATAACTTATCAATGCATTTAAAAAATTGCTAGATAAATCCCATATAGCTGGTTAAAAACAAAGCACTCATCGCGATGAACTTGTAAACATGACGTCATATTGGTAAAAATGACGTACTTTATGTGCTGTGAGAGGCAGATTGGGGAATTTTTTAACAGTGAAAAATGCGTTTTAATATTAAACGGAATATAATTTACAGGTTTTAAATAGTCGATTAATACCAATGTATAGCCTTTGTTTAGTGCGATTATTAATTAATTACCAAGAGAATGTATTTTATTAATTATGTCGTGTTTTTATGTACAGGTTACGTATATTTTACTTCAAGATGCCTCATAAAATCGTACTTTCGCAAGGGCATACACTGCATAGATCTGAATTATTTTTCGAATATAGATAAAGGGTATATTCCTTAACTTGAAAAGTGCTGCTGCTTTCTTTAAATCGAGGCCGTGATTTTATAAGTACACAAAATATTAGGTAAAAGTCAAACATATTTCGACATTGCCCTATCTACTTAAAAATTTAACTATTAAAACGCGAATTCTATTCAAAGCAGCAGCACTATTCAGAAACTACAAAGTATACAGACGCAATTAATAACTTGAATTTTTAATTTCAATTAGGGTATGGCCTTGCGATATTGAAATCTGTTAATGACCTACTTTCAGTACACAAACTATACATTCATCACGTGACTGTCCATTGATGGGACTAAACTCCATACAGTACAAAGTGGGTTATACAATGCTATTCCCATAAGTATTAAAGTCCTGACATAATAAAACAGCTTAATTAAAATAAATTAAATTCTTTAAAAAATCCCCCTTTTTCCAGGTCTATTTTCTGTTGATTTCTCATAGTAGGCCTTAACAGTGCTGCGTAGCCTGTTGTGTTTTTGCTCAGTTTTGTGGCCTAGCCCAATTTTTCTGGATCTCATTTTTTTTTTTACAAATTAGTTAGTGTATATTTTCGTTTGTATTTAAGTGTCTCCTCTTAGTTGTCAGTGCTTATATATACGTCGAATATACAGTATTTGGTGCATGTCTCTTATTTTGACATAATACTGAGATATTTTGAATCATATGTTTGGTGCAAACTCATCGAAAAAACAAGCAGTTAACAGAGCGAGTGCTTCAATATGTCGGTCTTTGAGTATTTTGTTTTCATGTTTCAATGTGTTCCAAATTTCTAAAGTTATGTTTCATGTAAGAAAAAAATCAAAACATCTCCCCTAATTATGTGTTCAGGTAGCCCTTTTTAAGTAGAATACACGGATAGTGTAAAATGTTCAGGTGTTGCGTAGCTAGCGTAATGGCGGATGACTAGTTATATAATATTGGTTACACCCAGTCCCACCGCTGGAACAGTCATTGCCACATTCAGGTTAATGGTATATTGATTTTTCAGTGTTATAAAAGGAAGATGAAAACAATATATATCCAGAAATGATTAGATAGTGCAGGAATTTATTGACTTGACACAGTCATGATGAGATAGAAGCGAGTCCTGACCTTGTATTCAATACAAGTAATACCGACTGAACAACGCCTGATAAGATCACGCAACCAACGAGAGTTAGCGAGTGTTTGTAGTGACTGGGGTGTGCAAGATTAGATCCATTGTGCAATAGAGTATCTTTTGCCTTAACTGTAAATATCAAAAATTTAAGACGAAAAAATAGAACGCACAATGAATTTTATCCCTGAATTCAGCAAAGTACGCACTCTTTAAGTGCGTGATGAGGGTTTTGAATTTTTAAATAGGATGCAACATCTGTCATTACAACTTAAATGACATTTATACTATGCTATTTCGGTCGGTTTACATACTTTTTTTGTCTTTAAATGTAAATAATATTCATAGATTGTAGTTTTTTTTTTTGTTGCACTTGTTTTGTATAATAATTGTACATATACTATTTTTTAAAAATGTCGTTAAAGGTTTCTTTGTCTATAGATCACTCTGATTAGATCTATACATTGTACATATTTTTTATGTAAATAGATGTTAGACTGAAATGATTGCTAAGTTTTCCACTGATCTCACTAACCCCAGTTAAAAGTCACCGGACTGTATTCCCCTGTCAGTCACGTGCCTATACGGTGTGCCAACCATATAATGTATAATTTATTCTTCTTTAAATTCACATTTTACGTTCGATTTGTTAAAAAATTCTCATACTGTAGATTATTTTTTTTCCTTGCCGCATTCTGTATTCTGTCTCTCTTGTTTGTTTATTCATACTCGACTTATTTTTTTCTTCAAGATTTCATGTTTCACATTTTCCACACAAGAAAAACATATACAGTTTACCACTTTTTATTGTGAAAAGGTCTCAGGAACAAACATTTATACATTAAAATGTTTTGCATATTCATACATTTATTCAAACGTACAGGTTTTTTTTACCATCCTCACAATTAAGCGCACAATGTTTGTTGCCGTCGCAGTTTTTGATATAAAACTATTTCGGGGAAGAGAGAGTTGATCCCGAGCGATTTTTTTTTATCTGTTGGGCATTGAGAGTTAATTGAGATAGTGCTGAATCGGGTACATTGAGTGATATTATGGGGTACATTGCTATATGTTTATTTTTCTTGTTTAAGAAAAAAAAACTAAAAATTGTAAAATTGTATGAATTTTCAGAAGGAAATTTTAAAAAGTTTTTTAAAGAAAAATAGAAAAATAAAATGAAGGAAACAGTTGCATATGAGTTTGTTTTTATTGGCTTGGAGTAGAGTTTCCTAAGCTTGTTCTTTTCACAGTGATGTTTATTAATTCTGTTTGTCCGCTTATGTTGTAAAATTGTAAGGAAAATAAGGGAGTAAAAGTATTATTATTTATTTTTTTATTTCTGCATAGTCTCTCTATCATGTATTCGAATGTTTTTTAGGCTTCAGTTTGAGAAATGACAGATTTAATTTGCATGCCACTCTTCAGCGCGCGTGCTGTAACCGAGAGCGTGCGTGATCTGACTTTTAAAGGGTCTGCTTGTTTTAAATAAATTTAAGAGCGCATTCAAAATATAAAAAAAGATTATTCCTTCCTAAAATTTGGATGTTTGCCAACAAGGCACAACTGTGGTTGGAGTATTATTTATAGTAACTTACGCATGTCTCTCAAAACGACTCGAAATATATATTACAAAAGGACCCCTTTCTCAAGTGTCTAGACTTACGACAAACTTCACGTCTGTGTAATGAAACATCCGAATGCCCTCCTGCCGAGGGTCAAAACCATTGTAAGTTTTACCACAACATCAGCCCTCAAAAGTTTAATGCTTTTATAATTCTACCTGGTGCACCTTAAGAAGGTAACCATAAAAGGTGTCTCATTAAGTTCAATCGCTTTTGTTCACTTTGTAATTGAATGATCAAAATCTCCCCTATGATTATAAACCTCAAATCTTATTTGTATAATATACTTCAGCTACCCAAAGACTTATATAGAAGACAATTTACATGAATCATCGAGGTCTAAAGTCGTTAGAAAAAAAATATTTTTTGATAACATCACCTTTACGTAAATTTCACTATACACTGTCTTTTAAAAGAACCATCATAAATGTTAACGCCCATAAAGTAAAATTAAATTCATTTCGAACAACATCTTCAAGTTAATAAAAATCGGTTTATCTATACTTGCATGTAGGGAACCAAAATATACGAATAAATGCATATTTGATTATGCAACTGTAAAAGTCTTTTTCCTCATTAAGAAAAAAAGTAGAACACCTTGACACTTTAATTATTTTTCAAAACATGGTGACAGATTTGTATTGCGTCACAGCGTTTACCTTTTGCGCAAAGGTGACCAACCGTTTATAAACGATGAAATAAATTTATTGCATGCAATCGAAAAAAAATCTATGCATCAAGTAATACATCTGTATTACTGATGTATATTTACATGTTTATTCAGTGTTTTGTAAATTTCTAAAACCTGAAGAAATTTCGAGAGGTAATGCTTCCATGTCGTGTATCTCCTCATTTATTTAATCTGTTCTAAACTGTCATATCTAAACTTGGCGAACAATAACAGATCTTGTTGTCTGTTCGACACCTGTGTACTAAAGAGATTTCTTTACTTCCAACAAATGAGCTCTAAATGACACACCTGGGCTGTTTACCTGTCAGGTAACCTTTGCCAGGTACACTGTATCAGGTAAAATATCCACGTGTCAGAATATCCAAAAAAAGAACAACAACAACAAAGCAAACTAATACACCTTCCAATTTATTATTATTTGTTTATTTTTTTTATAATAACAATATTTTCTAATCAAACTGTTGAAAACTGTATAAAACAAAAAACGCGCGTGCGCAAACAAGTTTCTGAACAATATTTTTTTTTCAGGTGAAGATTAAAAAAAACATACACAGGGATATATTTCTTTCTGTAAAAAAAAAATGACAAAACACGTCCGATATCTAAAAATCTGATCTGAGTGAATATACATCAAAGAAAACCTGAAATTTACACTACAAAGTGCAGCTCCAGCTCAGTCACCTTGTAATATACATCAGATATATTGGGCCCCTGCAGGGTTTGGCGCCAAAACTTACGCTTAGCAGACGAAAGTCACAAAAAATATCAGGATTATCGGTTAAATATCACTTGGTCATTCTTTTCCCTTTCTTTAGTTTGAAATTGAATGAAATCTAATTACAAAGGTTTGAGGAAGTTAAATCAATTGTTCTTAGAAGAATTCTAAATCAATGCATTCAATGTCAAATTCCCAGTTAACGTTTTCATCAATAACAGCCTATATTTTATTTATGAATCTATTAAGTGAAGTGGTTCCAGCATTTTTTATCTAGTAAAGCAGAAGTACC